TGTCCAAAGCTGACCTCCTGATTCATCCCCCAAACTAGTTTCTCCTACAATCTTCCTCTTATCAGCTAATAGGAACTCTCCCCTTCCAGTTGCTCAGGCTAAAGAATATGGAGTCATCTTCAATTTTTACCCTTCCCTTGCACCAAACGTTCAATCCTTCATGAAATAAGGTTAGTGCTATCCTCAAATGTACCCCATTGGGCCACTTTTCTTTACCTCTACTGCCACCTACTGGTCTGAGTTGCCACCACCCCCAGGGGGAATTACTGTACTAGTATCCTGATTGTTCTTCCACTCTTGTCCCTGCGGTCTATTCTCCACTGAGTGGCTAGAATGATCGTTTTAAATATAAGTCACATCTTAGCACTTCTCCAGTCTGAACTCTTCGCTTGCCCCCCAGTTCTGGTCACTTAGGACTGTCTAACATCATCCCATGATTATTCTACTTCATCTTCCCACTCCTAAAACTGGCCTCTTTTCTACTCCTCCAATATTCTGAGCAACATCTAGTCCAGGGCCATTGCATTGGCAGTATCCTATGCTTGGCTAACTTTCCCAGATATCTGACTGGCTCGTGTCCTCATTTCCAGGTTCTGCTTGAAATGGCATCTTCCTAGTAGCCCTATGCAGACCACCCTGTTTAATATTACAGACTCACCCTCCACCCAGGACTCCCGTCTCCCTTTCTCTGCTCTGTTTTTCCTTGCTTCTACAGGACTCATTACCTTATAGCAGAATACATAATTTACTTATTTATTGCCTTTATTATTTGTCTCTTCTCACTAAAGAGTAAGACCATAAGGGTTCCAACAGCTTATCTCTGCAGCTTGAACTTTGCTCATGGATATTTCTTCTTTGGGGGCATCACTCTATTACCTCCTGCACGTATTCCTTCTGGTGCTAAAATAAGCTGCTTGTAAGTTGGGTTTTGATGTGAATTATTCACACTTACTAGAATTGAAGATTAACATATCACCTCTCCTAAGGGTGCTTGCATATCAAACCTCAGGTTCAGTGCTGGAACAAACTGCCCTGTTTTTTATGAAAGGAAATGGGCGAGTAGGAGGTGCAGATAGACACTAAAATGTTCATTGTTGCCTTTTGTTATCACCTGCCCTGTCACCCATGAATCCTTTACATAGACTGTCGGCATTTTGTCGATCTTACTCCTATTTTTCTAGTGGGAGGTAAGGATTTGTGGTCTACATGGAGTTGGTGAACTGTGAGCCCTATGAGTTTTTGTGAACAAAGTTTATTAAAACACAGCCACCATTCCTGTCCCAGGGCCTTGGCATTTATGGTATCCTCTATTTGGCAAACTGTCAAGTGTTGTCTCTGTCTGCTTTCAGTCTACAACAGCAGAGGTGAGTAGTTGGGACAGAGATTGTATGCCCACAAAGTCTCAAATACTTACTATCTGGCCTTCACAGAAAGAAATCACCAACTCATATTCTGGAAGCACCCTGCCAACTTTGGAAGTGATCTTGCAGCTTGGCATTTAGTTTAACAGCTCAATTCAACAGAGAGTCACTACATTTACTGTGTACAAGGTGCTAGAGTTGGAAGCAGAGAAACTAGACGAAGGGATATCACATTCTGGAATCTTTCCAGTCCTGATTCCCACTGTGACTCAAATTATTTTTTTCTAAGATTGTATTATGAAACATTTCAAAATATAGAAAAGTTAAAAAAAGTCAAAGCACCAATACCCTGCCATCTGGATTCTACAACGAACATTTTGCTGTATTTGCTTTGTCATATATCCATCAGTTTATCCATCTCTCTATTTGTCTATTAATCCACGTTGTTATCATTCCTATTATTATTGCTGCTATTGTTATTTTTTGGTGCATTTAAAGTAAGTTGCAGACATCGGTACACTTAATCCATAAACATTTCAATGTGCATAACATGAACTAGAGGTTGTTAGTTATTCAAATTAGTTTTTAGTTTTTACTCCAATACTGTGATCTTGAAAGCAGCCCTCATTCAGCCAGAAGACAGCACTTTACAAAAGCTGAAAACTGAGAAATGTTATCAGGGTAATTGAGGTCAGTATCAGGGAACTCATTCACCTAAATTTCTCCAGTTTCCTGGTCCAGAAATGAATCGGCCTTTCAGGCCTGAGAGTATTTTGCTTGTGATGGATTCTAAGAAAGTTCTGTGGCTCAAAAGAAAGAGTTCTGTGGCTCATCAGCTCTTTTTTTTTCCCTGAGACACTGAAAAAAACCCAAGGGAAATACAGAGAAAAACATACTTATGAGTTTCATGCAACAACAGATCACATGTAGCTTCTGGGTCAGAGCACTGGTTGATGGAACAGACCGGGTCTGTGCAGAATGCTCTCATGAGGGTGGCTATGGGAGTCACATGTACTCATCTTTTCTGCATATATTTGGATGTCTTCAACCACCCAGTACATTTACGGTCTTCGTAAACTAGCATTTACACAATAATCAGTCCTTGACTTGGAGCCAAATGGTTTCCTGGGTTCAATGAGTCTGAGTCTTCAATATGGAATATTTCAAAGATATTTGTCATCTAATGAATAGCAGCTACTCTGCCCTGAAAGGCATATTAACAAAATCTGCAAGAAGGAACTTTTGAGTTGATGGCTTGAAGAAGAAAGAAACAAAAATGATGAAGTGTTTAAGATATCCATGTACTTCTATACTGTGTATCCTTGAAAAGAAATTCAGTAAGTTTTACAGAAGAGGAAAATGAAATTCTTGAATGAAAAAGAAAACAGTCAAAGTAAGTCAGTAATGTGGTTGTCTTTCAAGATTATAATGGTGTTGTAGGGCCGGGGAGGAATAGCAGGGGATGGGGGGATTGGGGAGGGACAGCGTTAGGAGAAATACCTAATGTAGATAATGGGATGATGGATGCAGCAAACCACCACCATGGCATGTGTATACCTATGTAACCAACCTGCATGATCTGCACATGTACCCCAGAACTTAAAGTATAATAAATACATTTTGTAAAAAGATTATAATGGTGTTGTTTGGAATCATTTAGGGAAGGCTTTGCTCATTGCCGTATCAGCATGAATTTTCTTTATGCTTCCCAAGATTCCAAAGGCCATCAACAGTCTGTCTCCATACTCACAGATTTAGCTGCCTCCTCCACACCTTGATCTGGATGCGAAAGACAGTGTGAAAAGTGCTCAAAGCTTCACATACAGGGTCACATTTCTCATCTGAAAACTGGGCCCTGTTACAGTAAAACATTATATGCCCTTTGTTCGTTTGTAAGAGTTCTTTCCTCTCTCACCTTTGTTTCTCCTCAATTTAAGTCTTCTACCCTTTCAGACTTGTTCTTTTCTTTTTTTTTCTGCAGGGGCCTGTAAATGGAATTCTCTGCATTGTTATAACTATGCACACCCTTGGACTTAGGTTTTACCCGTAACTAGCTTCTGAAAGACAAGGAGGGGGACCCTTCACTCCTAGTACACCTTTTACAGCTGCAGAGGTGGAGGAGACAGTTGCAGAAGAGTTACAGTGATGATAAAAAATACTTATTATTCCATAGCACTTTTATATGTTCATGTGTGTTATGTCAACCAGCCTTGGATCACCTAAGTAAGGTGATGAGGGTGGGTTTAAGCCCCACTGGTATTTTAAAAGCCCAGAGAAAAGTGTTTCTTCCTCTACTCACCTGTTCTTTCAGAGCAAGGTCTGCATACTAGGTCTGCAGCCAAAATGAGTAGGCAACCTACTACGTATTTTTGTACAGCCAGAGGGCCAAGAATGGTTTTTACTTCTTTTTTTTTTTTTTTTGAGACGGAGTCTTGCTCTGTTGCCAGGCTGGAGTGCAGTGGCACGATCTCAGCTCACTACAACCTCTGCCTCCAGGGTTCAAGCAATTCTCCTACTTCAACCTCCCGAGTAGCTGGGACTAGGGGCACGTGCCACCACGCCCAGCTAATTTTTGTATTTTTAGTAGAGATGGGGTTTCACCATCTGGGCCAGGATGGTTTCGAACTCCTGACCTCCGGTAATCCGCCCACCTCAGCCTCCCAAAGTGCTGGGATTACAGGCATGAGCCACTGTGCTCGGACTTTTTTTACATTTTAAGTGGTTTCACATTTTAAGATCAAAAGACAGATATTTCATGACAACTAAAAATTATATGAACTCATAATTGTATGAATTTTATGAATTCAAATTTCCGTATTCATAAAGTTTTATTGAACTACAGCCGCATTCATTTATTTACATGTTATTGATGGCTGCTTTTTTGCTACAGAGGCAAACTGGAGAATGTACATGGCCTGCAAAGTCAAAGTATTTACTATCTGGTCCTTTACAAAGTTTGACAACCTTATTTTAGAGACACTACTGTCTTTCCTTTCTCAAAACCAGGCATTGAGCCTTCTGGTGTTTGGAGAACAGAAGCCGCAGCTGTGGCTGTACCACTAGTTAGTAATCTTAGTAATGAACTAGATCCCTTCACTGGCTTGTACCAGCTCCTCAAGCTCTTGGGAAAACTCTCCAACGCAGGCCCACTGTGTTCCAACAACATACAAGCTCCGAAACATTTGTCTCCCTACTGGAGTGTGCCTTCTCTTCAGGTAGGAATAAAGATGTATGGGTGCCCACCCCTACCCCCGCACTCCTTTCCAAAGACAAACAGCAGGTAACTGACGTGCAGAACAAACAGTTGTGTAGTGCTTAGAACGTGACAGACTAATTTAATTCTCATTGCAACCCTATGAGGCTGGCACTACTATCATCACCATCCTCATTTTACAGAGGAGGAACCAGAGGCACAGAGGGGCTGAGCCACCTGTTCCTTGTCATGCCAAGTGGTGCCTCCCAGCGGTGGAGGCAGCACTGGAATCCGTGCCGTCAAGCCCCGCGGACTGACAAGGACACTCCAGTTAAAAACAGGTTTCCCACAAGGCCGATCGAAGCACGGATCAGAGCACCTGCCCGGGCCACACATCCCTCCTGGAGCACCGCAAGCGGCCCCTAAATTACTCGAGTGAGCATCTCTTTCCGGCAGGAGAGGCAGGGAAGCCAAAGGGCCGCCGAGCTGGCCTGGGAGAGGCGTAGGGCGGAGCGAGAGTGTAGTGACACTCCCTAGGGCGGAGCCCCAGCCAGGGCCCCCTAGACCCAGAGACTCCCGCCTCCAGCCTCTTCTAGGCCGCCGGCCCCGAAGCACTGAGAGCCCCCGAGACCCAGAGACTCCCGCCTCCTGCCTCCTCTAGGCCGCCGGCCGCGAAGCGCTGAGTCACGGTGAGGCGACTGGACCTGCACTCTCTTAATCTGCCCTCCCTGCAGTCGCTCCCGGAGACTCTGCGCGTCCCAGCCGCCGCTAAGGCTCCAGGTGCCGCTACTGCTGCGTGAGTACCTGGGGCTTCCGCAGGGGTCCACTAGATGGGAGAATGCTGGCAATTAGTTTGCAAAATCCTGCCTTCCGCAACCCTCTTTAGACTCCTGGGGGAAATAACACGAGATACTTAAATTGTACTAGGAAATTTGATGAAAGTGGTAGATGGCATTTCTTTCTGCAAAGCACTGAGATCTAAGCACCTCATCAGTTGTTTACATGCATACAATTTAATTGCAGGAGTCTGGAAGGACCCAGACATAATCTGGACGGGGATAAACATACTTTCTGGTTGCTTTGATGTAGATGATGACCGGCCTGTACTGCTTTGAGTATTAAGCTCATTTCTGCACCCTACATTTCCATCAGCCAATAAGTATTTATTGATTACTATTCAGGGAGGGTACATTTTAGGGCAGGTCTTAACTAAGCGGAGGGTATTGTGGAGTAGAGCCTTTCTGAATAACAGCAGCTAACATTCTCATAGCACTAACTGCACCCCTTTGAGGTAGGCAGTCTTATCGTTCCATTTTACAGATTAGAAAACTGAGCCACAGAGAACCTCAGGTCACACAGCTGATAGGTGGTGAAGCTGAGATGCAAACCCAGGCTGTCTGGTTCCAGAGTCTGCTTTTTGCCAAACCACCTCTCTTGGTTTCAGTATGAATCTTTGAAGGAATTGAGTGTATTTCACCTGAAGAAAAGATTTAAGGGATTGGGGGTACTGTTTGAAAACACTTGAAGAGGAAAAGAGATTGATCATATTCCGTATAGGATAGTCCATTAGTTAGAAGTTAGACCTCCCAAAGAGGAAAACACTTTCAAATAATAAACTCTGGCTATAGCTAAGTCCTGAAATACGGGATACATTGCCAAGAGCAGCTGGCCCATGACTTGCCTATGCTCTAGAAGACTTCATGAGTAAGTGGAAAGATTTCTTGCCCAAAATATTGGCCCTGAATTTTCAGAAATAGATGGGTCTTTGAATTCAGTGACCCTCAAAGATCCCTTTTAATGCAAAGATCTTCAGCATGTTCTGGTAAGGGACCTCTTGGTTTTTCTCCTTGTTCCCTAAGGCACCACACAAACCTCCCATCTGTCAGCCTTGTTGGTAGCAACTAACTCATGGGTGCTACCAGTGAGGCTGACAGATGAGTGGCACTGGGGAGGGGGTGGGGAGATCGACATAATTCAGTGAAGTAAAAAAGATTAAGTGTTCACTGGAGGTTTTTAGTTAAGTGCCCAACAGAGCTGCTAAAGTCATACTTCACTTAACAACGGAGATCAGTGAAGGTGGTTTTGTCATTGTGCAAACATCTTAGAGTTTACTTACACGAACCTAGATGGTATAACCTAGGTGTGTAGTAGGTAATATGGTGTAGCCTATTGTGCAAACATCTTAGAGTTTACTTACACGAACCTAGATGGTATAACCTAGGTGTGTAGTAGGTAATATGGTGTAGCCTATTGCTCCTAGGCTACAAACCCATACAACATGTTCCTGTACTGAACACTTAGGCACTCGCAACACAGTGGTGAGTATTTGTGTATCTAACATAGAAAAGATACAGTGAAAATTTGGCATTATAGTCTTAGGGGACTACTGTCATACATACGGTCCATATATTGTTGACTGTGTAGTGTGGAGTTAAATGTCATTATGCAGCCGGCACATGACTGTATTGCTAACCTTCGCACAAGGTGACTATAGGATTACAAGAGATAATTGTAAATAATTGATGAGGTACTGGGCACCTAGTGGGTATGCATACGTGTTCGCTCATCATGGTTTTTTTAAATCACCTAACCCAGGCCCTGCACATAGTAAGACATCAACAAATTGTAGCTGCTACTATTTTGTGCATCTAATCTTAATAGCATTTATTTTGTAGCCCTGGGATATCCTCTCCTTTATGACTTCTTTTTTTGTCGTCCTTCCTTTTTAGCCCTCCATCCTCTACAGCTCAGCATCAGAACACTCTCTTCTTAGACTCTGATATGGGTTCTTCCAAGAAAGTTACTCTCTCAGTGCTCAGCCGGGAGCAGTCGGAAGGGGTTGGAGCGAGGGTCCGCAGAAGCATTGGCCGACCAGAGGTATGCTAGTTGGATGGCCACTCTTTGTTTTCTTTGCAGAAGGGACTGGTGGGATGTTGATGGTGATTCTATAAGAGGGGGCCAAGACAAGCATGAACTGCACCGTGGGTGCATAAGTGCAAACTTCAAAGTTTGCAGTCGGGGGCCCCATGCGAACCAGCCCCAGCCCAAAGGGGGTTTCTGTAACGTGAATACAGAGGTGATGGGCAGAAGGTGCAGATGAGCTTCAGAAAGTGTCTCTGTGTCTCCCTGCACACTGGCGTGCCACCCTGGGCTGACCTGCTATCTGCTTCAGTATGCATATTGCCAAACATGCCCACCCCACAGCGTCTAAGTTTATTTGCCCACACTTCAAAGCACCAGGGAGTAACTGTTTCTTAATTCCAAATTCCCAGGAGAGAGAATCTGATTGGTTCAGCATAGGTCAGGTCTTCACTCCTGGCCAATCTGCCGTTGCCAAGGATTTGGATTCATAGAGAGACTGCTGGGACCCAACCCTGTAGACCTCTGGTGAGGGACAGGTATAGATGGGTCTAGCTCTCAGACAAGGTGATTATAGATTAGGTAGATATCTTTCAACTTTAGAGAATGTTTTCATTTGAATATGGGAAATTTGGGATTTGTGGGGGAAATAAGTCTTATATGCACAGAAAGATATCAGATAGTGGTTATAGCCCAGGGAATACAGCCCCGAGCACCACATCACATCCCCAAAACATTTTCCAGTAGAAGAAATATGTTACAGAGATGGATTCCATTTTGAAAAGTGGGGCTGGTTTGTCCCTCTTCTTAAACTCTAACAATTTTCATACTACTTTGTTGCTCAACCTAAGGTTTAAAAGGGTTACTTTCTCAACTTTTTAATCTTTGAAAGATATTTATAGTGTTTTAAAAACTCCTGGCCTTCCTCAGTGAGTGCTGACCTACATTGTTGATGGGTTCAATTTTTTTAAAATTATTTGTGTTTTAAAATTTTGTGTCCTTTGACCAACATCTCTCCTTCCGTATCCTCCCAACCCCTAGCCGGGGTAACCACCATTCTCTATGCTTCTGTGAGTTTGATTTTTTTCAGATTTCCCATATGAGTGAGATCATGCAGTAATTGTCTTTCTGTGCCTGGCTTATTTCACTAGCATAATGTTGATTGGCTATTGAGGCAGAGGAAAAACTGTCAACACAACTCTCCATCAGCCCCATCAGGCCATTTCTTTTTCCAATTAGCTTCCTGTTTACACCTGAATGTCTTTTGAGGTCAATCAAACAGTGTTTTCTGAAGAATACCCGTAAACAAGATTATTCTAATGGCTAAATGTACAGGGAGTGTTGGGAAGATGCAGATGGAGGTGGTATCATATTCTATCTTGGCTACATCACCAACAGAACAATTGGAAAGAGTATTGGGGCCCCAAACACACCTGTTAGTAAGCCATTATTGTATATTGAGGGTAGCTAACACTTTAATTAGCCCATCTGTCTCAGAATATCTGCTGAGAATTTCTTTATTGTTTTTGTCCTGTAAATCCCTTTGGTAGTTTGATGAAACTATCAATTTCTTCTAAAGCTACGTTTTAAAATATATAACATAAAATACGTAGGATTACTAAAATAAAATATATAGGATTACCAAAGAAAACTTTTATACTGAAACATGGATAAGAACAGTTTTAAAAACACTTTCATAACCTGGTAATTTTACATTCAATAACACGATTTGGAGGCAGTTCTAGTAACTCCTGAATTTCAAAGCTGTGAGGAACATGAACAATATTTCAACATATCTACTCACAACTGAATGTGATATGAAAATAACTTTGATTTCAATTGGTGACAAAGTCACAGGTGCTGGTAATTTTCTGTGGTGCATTGACTACATTCATAATTGAAGAAGAAGTTAAATTTCAGTCTGGAGATGGCAGTGATAGGTACACAATGTAAATATATTGAATGCAACAAAACTATTCATGTGAAATGGTTAAAATGCTAAATTTTATGTTGTGTATTATTTTACCACAATAAAAAAAACAGAAAAAAATAGTAGAGGTTAGTGACAATAAAGATGTAATTTTTTAAACAGTCCAAGTTTACAACCCCTCTGAGTTCTATCAGTGGTGCCAGGTAAGAGTCCATGGCTGATAACTTAAGCTTTAAAGATCCCCATATTTTACTGATTTAGGTTTCCTGTATCCCAGGTATGACTTTACCCTAAGGAAGAATAAATGGATAGGAATCATTCCTAATCCAATCAACCTGGTTTAATTACTTTTGAGACAAAGGGTCTTTTCTTTTGTTTCCATATAGTTTTACATTTTTCATCATGGGATTATATAGAGTAATTTTGTGTCCCAATGTTTTTTTCATTTAACAATGGTAGCATAAGGACCTCCCGGGTTATTATAAATTCTTCATAAACATCATTTTAATCGTTATGCCATATCCCATGTATAAGCATAGCATTATTCTCTTACTCATAAATCTATTTTTGACCATTTAGACCATTTAGATTGTTGCCATATTTTTTTGCACTCTACAGACTCCCAATTTGCCAGAAAGGTAGACTCCCTAGCCCTCCTATAAGCAGAGAATGAAAACATCTGGGAATGAATGGCAACCATTTTCTGGCACAGAAAAGAAGAAGAGGAGAAGAGCAAGAGGATACACATCTGCTGTCCATCTTCCTCTTATAAGAGATGGAGTGGGGCAGGCTCACAGTCTTCATTACAGTTACACATGGGCCAGGCTAGCCAGACTGGAATTTGAATGGCTGAGTAGCATAGTGTTAGGGAGTGGTTCCTCTGAGCTCCCAGCGGGAGGGAAACCCACCACTCATCTGCACTTGCCTCTATGCCCACTCCTGCTTCTACCAGGCACTACTCAGTGGAATGTGATTCTCTGTGGGTCACTCTTATTTTTATTTTTTTAATGAAGAATTTCAATCATCACAGAAAAGTAGAAAAATAGTATGATGAATCTCCATGTTTCTTGCATCCACAATGATCAACTCATGGGAATCTTATTTCATTTATATTATCATCCATTTCTCCTCTCAAAGTATTTTGAGGAGAATTCCAGCTGTTATTTTATTTCATTTATAAATATTTCTGTTTGTATCTCTAAAATATAGCTTGAAAAAAAACCGCTACCATCCTATTATCACCCTTACAAAAAATTTTAAAAGCCCTTAATATCATTAAATAGCCTTGACTAATCTTGATCTTCACTGATTTAGCCTCTATAGATGGTGCTTTCCATTATCAAGTTTTCTAGATGTTGAGTCAAGGAAGAAGGTCATAGAGTCACAGCTCAAGTCCATTCGAGGCTGTATCTAGACCTCAGTCTAGGATATGTGCTACAGTTTTCTTTTGCCTTCTCATTGTTATCCCCAGGTTCCAGTCTAGAGGCCGAGTAAATCCAGAAGGTAGTCTGAGCTGTTGGAGTCTATCTTGAAGGGCCTGTTCCTTCAGCTGCTGCCATATTGTCTTGATGTAGGCTGACCTACAATCACCTGACTGCTACCACAGGCATTATTGCCCTTATATCAGTTAGGATTCGGTTTAACTGTGTGTAACAGGAAGGATACTCCCAAACCAATGATGTAGATAAGTAAGGGTTTGTTTCTCTTTTGTAAAGTCCCAAAATAGGCACTCCAGGGTGGCCTTCCACACTTACCAGGGACCTGTGTTCATTCTATCTTAGGTCATAATTCTTAGTAAATTCTTGGTGCATCACCTTTTAGTTCAAGATAGCTTTTAGGGGAATGGCAACCATTTACCCTCTGGCACAGAAAAGAGGAAGAAGGGAAGGGCAAAAGGATACATATCTGCTGTCCATCCTCCTCTTATAAGGAATTTTCCTAAAAGTTCCATCCTGCAACTTCCACATTGTAGTTAGATTCAATCAAATGACAACAACTAGCTACAGGAGAGGCCACGGACCTAACACAAGTACCACTTAGTACATTGTGGGCTACCTTCTATGTACACAAATTATTGTAAGTTCAGTGGAGCATCATAAAAAGGCACAGCATTGGCCACATCCCCAAGGAACTATCATTCTCCCAGTGCTCCCTGATGCAAATAAAATCCCAGGCTTTATTATGGGAGTACCACAGGCTTGAGGTGTGGTGGCCACAAGTTTTGACTGGTCTTTTTTTTTTCTTTTGAGACAGTCTCACGCTGTCTCCCTTGGCTTGCTGCAACCTCTGCCTCCTCGGTTCAAGTGATTCTCATGCCACAGCCACTGCACCTGGCTAATTTTTGTATTTTTAGTAGAGATGGGGTTTTGCCATGTTGGCCAGGCTGGTCTCAAATTCACAGCTTTAACTGATCCATCTACCTCGGCCTCCCAAAGTGCTAGGATTATAGGCATGAGTCACTGTGCCCAGCCTGATTGGCCTTAAGAAATTAAAAGAAGTAGTTTGTAAGCTGCCACTTGAATCCAGCAGCTAAAGGATTTAGAAACTATTTGAACGAAAAGAAATTCTCATGTGGTTTAAAAGCGTTAAAAGATTGTCAATTTGATATGTAGAGAGAGAAAGATGTGACTGAATTGGGGAATTATCAAAAACATTTTAGAAAATCAGAGTTCTGTAAATTAGATATTGTCTACAGATAACACATGTTCATTTTACATGCTATTGAATCCATGCGAAATGTTTAGAGAATATTAGGAAGTTTGACATGGACTAATACCCAGTACTGAAAATAACAATTTGGTACAACAGTCTAATGCAAGATATTCTTACTTTTTGGAGGGGAAGTGTGTCTTAAACCTGTCTCCAATTTTCTGGCAAGATAATCAGTTCATCCCTCTGGCTCTTAACTCAATCAGCCCCCTAGCTTTTTCAGTCTCTTTCTTGTGCTGGCTTTCTTCCTATGTGTGTTCCTATTTCATGGATTGGTGACTAGAAGGATTAAATGGGCAATAAATATAACAAATAGTACTGATTTGGTGTGAATCTATGTGTCTTCCCTACTCCAAATTCTTATCTTGAAACCTAACAC